CCCCCCCGACCCAAATTTCAGAGGGGGGTGGGTGCTCACCCTGGGCATCCCCAACCTCCAGCCCTTCCAAAACGGGGCGCCCCCAATCCTGACCCCTTCGATGCCACCCTGGGAGTGTCCCCGAGTGTCCCCACTGTCCCCTTGTCCCCCTCCTCACCTTGCACGCGGAGCGTGAGGGACGCGCGGGCGTCGCCGAGGGCGCTCCGTGCCTGGCACTCGTATTCGCCCTCATCCTCCTCGGAGGCTTCCCGGAATTCCAGGCGCAGCGCGTTGGGAGAGGGGGACACGCGGATGCTCTGCCGGGGGGTGTCACCTCCTCCGGCGGGGCTGGAGGCCAGCGGGTGTCCCCCCCTGAGCAGCGTCAGCTGGGCCGGGGGGTGGCTGTCCACGGCGCACAGCAGGATGGTGGCCGTGCCCTGGCTGCTCTCGGCGAAGGATTGCAGCCGCAGGTTCCTGGGAGGGTCTGCGGGACCGGGAAAAAGCATGGAGCGTGGGATAATCCTGGAATCGGTGGGGTTGGGGGAGCGCTCCGAGCTCACGGAGTCCAGCTGTCCCCACCCGGCACCGGCCAGGCCACTGCAGAGCGCGTCCCCAAGTGCCGCATCCCAAGGAATTTCCAGGAGGAAAATTCCCGATGTCCAATCTAAACCTCCCCTGGCGCAGCTTGAGGCCGTTTCCCTTTGTCCTGTCCGAGACTTTCCCACCTCCCTCAGCTTTTCCTGCTGCTCCAACCCCTTCATGCCAGGGATTCCCCGTGCTCCAGGGCCTCCATCCCGCATTCGTCATGAAGATTTATAAATTAACACCATCTTTTTCTCGTAAAAAAGGGGGGGAAAAAAAAACCCCTCATGTCCTGACTCACAACAACATTTTCCCCCTTTTTTTATTTTTATTTTTTTTAAAGTCTGGTTTTGATTTTCCCAAGCAGGGATAAAAAATAACATAATAATAAAAAAATTCCTAAATCCAGAATTGATTTCTGAAAGCCAAAGATTTTCCTGCTGGTTTTGGTGTGGAGCACAAGGAAACCTGGAGAAGGTTTTGGGGATGGTGTGGGGGTCTCTGGGCAGGTCTGGGGTGTGAAGCTTGGCTTAATTATCCTCTGGGATACATTTTTTCAACCTCCCCCTAATTAATTAACCCCCCCAAATTAAACCAGGCCTTACTGCCCCATCTCTCCAGCCAAAGGAACCGACCGAGGGGTGGCACCAGGTGGCACCAGGTGACACCAGGCTGCCCTTGGGGACTCACAGAGCACGCTGAGGGTGGCAGGGATGGCGCTGTGGTTCCGGGCCGGGGTCCGTATGGAGCACTGGTAGGAGCCGGCGTCGGAGGCGGTGACCCCAGGGAAGGTGAGATTTTGGGAAGAGCCGGTGGCCAACCACACCTGGTTCCGGTACCAGGTGTAGCTCAGCACGTCCTGGTCCCCTCCTGCCACCGCGCAGGTGAGGGTGGCAGCGTCCCCTTCCCGCACGTCTGGGGACGGCCGGATCCAGACCCGGACGGCTGCGTGGGAAGGGAGGAAAATGTGGTGATCCCTCGTTTTCCAGGGCGGGAAAAGTCAGGGAGTTGCAGGGCGGTAAAAAGAGGGAATGGCCACCGCATCCCACAGGTGGCAGCGTTCCCATGGATTTGTTCGGGATGCTCCATCCCTGGAAGTGTCCAAGGACAGGTTGGACGGGGGCTCGGAGCAGCCTGGGATAGTGGAAGGTGTCCCATGGCAAGGGTGGCATTCATGGGATTTAAGGTCTCTCCCAACCCAAACCATTCCATGACTCCTGGGGTGATGGAGGGCGGTGCCATGGATGGACACAGCACGGGCAGCCCTTGGAATCACATCCAAGCAGAGCCGTGTCCCTTTGGCACATGCCCGAGACACCCGCAGCAATTTGGGAATATCTCCACCCCCACAAACACGGATTTTCCCCAGTTTTTCCCCCCATTTTCATCCTGTCCATCCTATTCCAGCTGCTCTCCATGTTCCATACCCCATTCCCATCCTTCTCCATTCCTTCACCTCGTCACCATAACTGCAATCCCATCACTCCACCTGCTCTCCATCCCCTTCCCACCCTATTCCCGTTCCCATTCTATTCCCACTCCCATTCCCATTCCCATTCCCATTCCCATTCCCATTCCCATTCCCATTCCCATTCCCATCCCATGGATCCCAATCCCACCCCATGGATCCCATC